AATATATATATATATATATATATATATATATATATATATATATATATATATATATATATATATATATATATATATATATATATATATATATATATATATATATATATATATATATATATATATATATATATATATATATATATATATATGATATATATATATAATGGTGGTTTCTCTCTCTAACTTTCCGGCGACCTCTCCAGCGAGGATATCATCCCGGAACGAGCTCAGCCAGAGGACTCTCTTCTCCGATCTCCTCAAGGGACGTGACCTTTCAGGTAAGGTTTGTGGCTTCTACAAAGCAGCTCCTTCAGTTCATTTCACGGCGGCAGAAGAAGAAGTCCTAGCCGGAAAACTGAGCAAAGCCTTGATTGGAAGATGCAGTTCCAGAGTCTCACTCAAAGATGTGGAAGAATTCCTCATCAAAGGCAAATCTAGGGAGTTCAAGCTTCGAAGACTCCACTCCAACGAGATCCTTTTCCTATTTAAGAGGGATGAAGATTATCTTCGGTGGTTTCTCCGGAGACACTGGACAATCAACTCTTCAAAGATCACCATATGTAAATGGTCACCGGAACACTCACCCCAGCTTGACTCTCCGATCATCCCCCTTTGGGTTGATATTAACCACGTCCCCCTCCACCTTCTTGACCATAGCTCTTTATTCTCCATTGCTTCCTCTCTGGGAAAACCTCTGAAACTGGGAGCTAAAACTGCTATGGGCATATCTCCGGAGAGGGCTAGAATTTGCATAGAGATGGATGTATCCCTAGCCAAGCCTCCTAAGATCCATGTCCGTCTTGGCTCTAGAGACCTTTGGCTCCCATGCAGGTATGAAGAACACACACCCTACTGTGGCCATTGCAAGCGTTTTGGACACCCATTATCTCAATGCCGGAAAAGGCACCCCTCCGTCACTGCTCCGGCGGCAGGGGTGGGCCAACAAGGAGCGGGAGAACTTGATTGGAAGAGGGTAACAAGAAAACGACAGATTCCCAGAAAGCTTTCTAAATCATTGCCCCCTCCCACTTCCCAATACCTCAAGCATATACCCCTTTTAGCCCCCGTCTAGCAACTATCCTCCAAACCTACAACTCATCCCTCCACTCCCCCTAGCCATCCCAACCCTCCCCCTAAACCCGTCCCAAACCCTCCACCTTTGGTGGTAGACACACTGGTTTGTCCCTCCACCTCTTGGGCCCATACAAATCCCATGCAGACACCATCCCCTCAACCTCCTTCATCCTCCTTCCCCCCTGATCTCTCCTTCCTTCAACCCAGCAGCAACCCTTGCAAGGACATCATTCCTTTCCTCCCACCCCCTTGCCCCACTCTACTCCTTAAGAGTAGAGATGACATCTTCACTAAGGACGTTACTCCTTCTTGGGAAAACTTACACTCTGAAGACGAGGTGGAAGTAGAAATCTCCCCTGTCTCTTACCACTCGGATGGAGAACCTGGAGCTGTTCCCTTTATCTCAGCCCCCTTGGCACCTCTGGAAATGGTCACTCATCAATCCCCTATAGTGTCAATTCCATTGCAGCCAAGCCTTAGCAATACTCCTGCCATTCATCCAGGTTATGCCACAAGGAGCAGGACTAAAAAAGAGGTACCCCAAAACCTCTCCTAATGAATCTCATCTTCTGGAGTGCCTGTGGGGTTAGTTCCTCCCTCAGCAGGCTTATATTCCTCAAGAGTAAATTTAATTTGAACTGCCTTTGTGTTATTGAACTCATAAGCAATAAGTCTCAACTAGAGCTCTTCAGGATTAAAATTGGTTTCTCTAATGCACTTAGCTCCTCCAACAACAAAAGATGGATCTTTTGGGACAACTCGTATCTTTCCCTGACCTCGTCTCAAGATAGCAACCAGATCACCCACTGCCTCTTCCATGTTTCTTCCACCAATACACCCCTTCTCATTTCCTCAGTTTATGGAGCTCATTCAGTTGTTGAAAGAAGAGAACTTTGGAGCAATTTACAAGAAGCCAGCACAACAGACTATCAATAGATTGTAGGGGGGGACTTCAACACTGTATCTTCACTTACTGAATTCAAAGGAAGATGTATCCCCAACACCCAAGGCATGGAGGATTTCAGCAATTGCATCTCCCATTGCCAACTTGTCTCACTTGAACCCACTGGAGACCTTTTCACTTGGTCTGGGGTCAAGAGCCAAGGCAGAACATGGAGAAGACTTGATAGAGCTCTTATAAACCTCCCAATCATAGCTCATTTTGATGATATCACTCTTAAACACCTTGCCAGGTTCAACTCTGACCATAAGCCCCTCCTTGTTCAATGCATCCAAAAGGATTACTCTGGACCTAAACCTTTTAGGTTTCTGGATTGCTGTACTTTTCATGACTCATTTCAAACCTTTGTCAAAGATACTTGGGATGGTTTTCCTACCACAGGAGGGATGAGAGGCATGGCTAACAAACTCCAGGCTATGAAAAAGGCTCTCAAAACTTGGAATAAGTTGGTCTTTGGTAACACTCATAGCAACCTTATAGCAGCTGAGGAAGCAGCGTCCCAAACCCAGGCAGATTTTGAGCTCAACCCCACAGAGCAGAACAGGGAAGCTATGCAGCAGGCCATCGCAAAATTTATCCTAGCCACCAACCTAGAGGTCCAATATTGGAAACAAAAAGCCAATATCAAATGGATGGATAAAGGGGACTCCAACTCCAAACTTTTTCAAGCCTTTGTCAAAGGTAAGAGAAAGAAGCTTACCATTTCTCATATTATTGGCTCCAATGGAAAAGGTTACTACAACCTTGATGATATCAAAAAAGAAGCAGTGTCATACTTTACTAACACCTTCAAGAAAACCCATCATCCTTCAGTTGATCCCATTCTTCCCCTCATTCCCCTTGTTCTCTCCCCAGAAGACAACTCCTCCTTCAGCTCCTTACCAACCTTGGAAGAGGTTAAACAAGCTGTTTGGGACCTGGATGATACCAGTGTTGGAGGTCCCGATGGTTTTAATGGAAAATTCTTTAAAACCACATGGGAAACCATAAAATTGGATGTACTGAGTGCCTCACAGGAGTTCTTTTTAGGTGTCCCTATTCCAAAGGCCTATGGTAGCACCCTATTGACCCTCATTCCGAAAACTGAAAACTCCAAGAAGTTTGACAACTTCAGGCCCATCTCTCTTTCAACTTTCATGAGCAAGATCAACACCAAGCTCCTGGCCAATAGATTAAGCATCTTCCTACCCAAACTTTTGTTCCTAGAACAGGCAGCATTCCAAAAAGGCAAATCCATTGATGATCATGTGCTTATGGCAGAGGAGGCTATTCATCTTTTAGACAAGAAAGTATTTGGGAGTAACCTCATTCTCAAAATTGACATGGCAAAAGCTTTTGACAGGTTGGACTGGGATTATCTTGAGAAAATCCTGGCTGCTTTTGGTTTCAACTCTCACTCAATCACCCTTCTTATGGCAAACCTCAAAGGGACCAACTTCAGTGTGCTTCTAAATGGAGAACCCACAGGATATTTCAGGATGGAGAGGGGGGTCAAGCAGGGTGACCCCCTATCCCCTCTCTTATTCATTATTG